ATTTGCACAATCTTCCTTTTACTCTGTTTGCATCCTTCTCGAAATCAATAGATGTTCAAGCTGGAATCATCAATGTTTCTAGACATTTTAAAAAGAAATTGGATAACAGCAACTAAAGAAGAGTTTTTTTATCAGTTTACATTACTGTTTTAACAAAACAAAAAACCAACAATCCTTTAAACTGAAAAATGTTTTGATCCTAAACATATCTGACTTTTATAGCAATATAGAATAAAATAATTTAACAAATACAAAGGTCAAATAGCATACAAATAAAAATAGATTAACATTGTCGATACTCGAGGACCATTTGGAGAACAAAGACAGTTTTCGAGGTTTGTATTATTAATAAAATAAAGTTGTTTCTTCAATAAAAACAAATTAAAGACTCTTATGATACATACAAGAACATTATACCAGTCTTAAGCAAAGAGTAAAAAAAGCGAATTTAAATTACTGTGTTCACTAATAAATGAGAATCTGCTTAACAAAAAAAAAGTTTATCATACACAAAGGTCACTTATATGCTTATATAGAATAAAATAATGCACCAAAGTCAAGATATCAAAACACTACAATTAAAAATATATGAAGTTGTTCGATAGTCGAGGACCATTTATTGAACAAGGACATCTTACTGAATGTGTGTAATATTAAAAACCAAAGTTGTTGCTTGCAATAAAACACAATTAAAGTATATTTATGATATATACAAAATAGTTATACCAGTTTTGACCAAAGAGCCAAAAAAAAAAGTTATTAACATTACTGTGCTAACATTACAGAATTGTATACTTATATAGAAAAAAACAATGCAGCAAAGTAAAAACCAGTAATGGAAAAGTATTGCGTTACAAATTAAAGTGAACAGACTTACAAACTATGCAGTATATGCATACAAACTAATCTAACTACAGTCAAGTAAAGAGGAAGTTTTAACCTATTTGCTTATATCACCATATTGCTTTTAGTGGTCTTTGATTGATTGGTTTTTTTTCTGACGGATGCTCTTCAATTTCTTCAAAGCTTGAATTATTTAATTCTAAAAAGAATAACAAAAAAAAAAAAATTGTTAGAATCTGTGTTCAGAATATTTACAAAGTAAAGTGAACAAAGTTACAAACTATGCAAGTATATGCATACAAACTAATCTAAAGACAGACAAATAAAAATAAAGTCTTAACCTATTTGCTTATATGACCCAGGGCCGGCTCAGAGGGGCGGGCAACATGGGCACCCGCCCAGGGCCCATTGATGAAAGGGGCCCCTTAACTTGGATTTTTAATTTTTGATAAAGATAAGAGAAAAAAAAATTTCTTACATGAGCATAGATTTGAAGCCACAATTTCAAAATTATTATTTAACATTAAATCCACTTAACCATTACAATCATTTAATATAATAATTCAAGTAATAGATACTCCGTATATATTAGAGAATATTAAATTAATTTATAATTAAACTTCATGTAGCCATATAGGGGCCCAAAGTTTGAATGAGCACTACTCCATGATTAGTCTTAAAAAATTATATGTCGATAAAAATTCAAAGTTATCCTTGAATTATTTTCAATTAACACAATCTTTTGAAATATATATATATATATATATATATATATATATATATATATATATATATATATATAGGGACGCACTCAGGTGCGAATAAGTGCCCAGGAAGGAAATGCGAACGAATCAGCGCGTGACACGTGTCCAGATCTAATAACTTAAAAAAAACGCGGTGGCATTTTCGTAAATAATTGAACATCGAAGTGCAAGTAAAATCTCTTATAAGTGCACCTATTTTCACCTATAAGTGCATGTAATTTTGCCTTGTTAGCATTTCACTTTCCGCAACCATTCATGCACCTGGGTGTGCTTATAACTATATGTGCAACTATTTATAACTATAGGTGCAACTACTTATAACTATATGTGCACCTACTTTCACCTATAAGTGCATGTAATTTTGTCTTGTTAACATTCATTGATCTGAGTTCAGCGGGTAGTAATACTCCTGAAAACCACTCGCAAACATTCATACACCTAGATGCAACTACTTATACCTATGTGTGCAACTACTTAGAACTATAGGTACAACTAGTTAGAACTATAAGTGCAACTAAGTATTGATGCTCAGTGTAAATTTTTACTTGCACCTATAATACATTTTACATGCACTTGTAATACATTTTACTTGCACTTCAATGTTCAATTATTTACGAAAATACCACCGCGTTTTTTAAAAAAATCAGTGTTTCTCATCCATTAGATCTGGACACGTAGACGAACAGAATCCATTCCTATTTCGCGCCTGGGCAAGCCGTTCGCACCCGAGTGCAACTATTTATATTATATATATTATATATATATATATATATATATATATATATATATATATATATATATATATTAAGGGCCCTTGTTTTTACTTTGCCCCGGGGCCTATAAATTGATAGGACCGGCCCTGATATAACCATAATGCTTTTAGTGGTCTTTGATTGCTTGGTTCTTTTCAGCTTGCTGCATTTCAATGTGTCACAAGCCTTGGACTATTCCATTCTAAAAAAAATACCCCAAAAATTTAAAATTGTTAGAATGTGTTCATAATATTTCATAAGTAGAATCAAATAATTAATGTATGTGTTCAATGTTCTTACAACAGACTTACAAACTGTGAAACTATAACAGTGCAAAGTCATCTAAACTAAGCCAAATCAAGATAGAGTCTTAACTTATTTTCTGATCAGGCCATAGTGATTCTTTTCTGCTGGCTGCTCTTCAGTAGCTCTAAAAAGAAAAAAATAAACAAGGTTAGTATTTCTGTCCAGAATAAATAATAACAACACATACATTGAATAAATTGGCAGCCACATTTTGAAAGAAATTAGATAACAGCATTGCAATTCCAGAGTTGTAAATTAATTAACATTGTTCGGTTAACTAAAAAACTGAAACTATATTTTAATTGCCATAACATAGAAGTGAATACACTGCCATACACTGCCAAGGCAAGAGAATTATTGTCCTGTTAAGTATTAGTTAATCATTCTTAGGAAAAGAAACACATTGCCTAAACATTAAATAGAATTGATGGGCAGCTATCATTACTATTAAGAGAAAACTCTTCAGTTCCAATCCTATTTTCAAAATTAAGGCAAAAGTAAAATAAACTACAATGAACCCATCTAAACAAGGATGCCCCATCTAACTACCAACACAACCTGCCAGTTTCATACCCCAGTAAAATAGACAAATCACATCTACATTTTCAAGTAAAAACAATAGACAGAGCAATGAGGAAAATCACTAAATCAACAATTATAGGCATCAAAAGGAAACCAAGTGATGAAAATAAAGGTAAGTTCGAAACTTATCTTTTTAATACTTCAAATTAAGCTTCATTATAGCATCATCTTCCTGTGCGATTCTGTTTATGCTCTCCGTCTCCTCAAAAAATTCCAGTATGTTCATGAAAAACAACATGATAAAGTCGAAAAAAGGTTAGGGTTTGTGTGAATAATAATATAGCTATACCATTTTGAAAATGATTGTTAAACAGTTAAGAGTAATTTCTATTTGGTGTTTTTAGAGCAATTTCTAAAAAGAATACGGTTTAGAACACTAATGGCTATGAATCATACAAATCTGAAATCAATAAATTGGACTATAAATTGTCGATATGCATGCGTAGATCCAGAAATGTAGATCAATTTTAGAACAAAGAACAATGAAAAGTACGAAACCCTAAACAAATTTTGTGTAGATTTAAAGCATACTAACCTTATAATTGGAGAATTAGCTTCACTGAAACGCGATTGCCACCATTTACCGTTGTTGAACACTATGATCTTTCACAGAAAGGAAAGATCGGGATTGTGTATTGAAAATCGGATCGATGCTAAGCGAGACCCGACTACAATTTCTCCGGAAATAATGTTCAATAAGAACAGTTGAATCGGAGATTACGACTTAGGACTGATCTAGATTTAGGCTTGACAGAGAAATATAGGAAGATTGTTTGGAATTGCTGAAGAACAGAGCGGTTCAGACATGAGAGAAGGAGAGGTCAAGCGAAGGAGAAGGCTTATCAGCCTCCTTCCTCTTCTCTCAATATTCCGACCGGAAAAACAATAATAATTAATATATATATATATATATATATATATATATATATATATATATATATATATATATATATTATGTGCGGCAAATTATATATATACAGAAAATATATATATTTAAATAGTTTATACATATAAATTAATAAATAAATATATAGATATGTATATAGTTATTTATTTATATATTTAATTTTGAATTGTTATGTGTAATTAATTAGATATATAATCTTAACAATTGTAATGGTATTTATTGTGGACAATGTTATACTTAAGAGTTTGTCAAATAAAATTAGTGTTACTATATAGCCATTACAATTTCAGGTTATATATATATATATATATATATATATATATATATATATATATATATATCACAATTAGATTATCCGTTAGGTGTGTTTAGTGGCACAATCACTAATTTGTAAATAATTGTTAGGTAAATCTTGAACAATTTGAAATTAATTATGTACTGTTAGTTGTGTTATGTGTAATTCATTTTTAGGATTTTTAATTATTTGGATTATTATTTATTTTAATGTTCTATTCTAATTCGCAGAAAATGAATTGGGCAACTCATCATCAAGGAATAATTCTGCTCAAGGAAAACAACAGCCTCCGGCAAGAAATCCTTCCCGCATTCCTCTAGGAGGGTGTTTGTCGCAAAACATCACACCCTTGAGTAACATGACTAACGGTAAATCAACTAAGTTCAATTGATATAGCATCATTGTGAATTTAAAAAACCTTTTTATTGGTCTACTTATTATGTAAACCTTATTTAAAACAATTACAATTTACACTTATAGGCTAGCGTAATGAATAGCATTAGGTGTGATTAATTTTAAAAATGTCAATTGTTGTACTTACTGTTGTTTTTATCGTCTTTTAATTGATTCTTTTTTCCTCACAGCAAATAATTTTTGCAAATCATCATTAATGACTAATGCTGGTCAAGGGAAAGAGCAACATACGCCAAATAATCGAACCCAAAATCCGTTGGGATGTGGTTTGTCCCCAGATATCACACCATTCAGTAACATCAGTAATGGTAAATCCCAATATATGAATTGATATACATTAATTGTTAATTTAAATGTCCTTATACTGTTAATTGTTCGAAGCTGTTTGTCAAATTAAATGTTGTAATTGTAATGTAATTTATGTTTAATATCAATTTCTAATTAATTGATTAGGTGTAATTAATTGATTACATTGTACTTAATGATATATACTTTTAGATTTGAATTGTATTTAAGTTAGAATGTGGACCATCGTCTACATAATTCTATTCGATTACGTATTAAAGTTGTGCAATTGTAAAATTATTTATGTTATGTGTACTTAATTGTTTCGAGTTATAATTATTGGAATTAGTTCTTAATTTAATGGTATATTTTCAATCACAGCAAATCATTTCGGTTGCTCATCTTTTACGAATAATGCTGCTCAAGATCAAGACCAACGGACGACAGCTACTCCTTACACTAATCCCCAGCGAGGATGTTTGTCTGAAAATATCACACCATTGAGTAACATCACTACCGGTAAATGCCCTAAGCTGAATTGCTATAGACTCTTTGTGAATTTAATTATAATGTAACTCATGGTACATATAAGTATGTGTGGAATTGTAACTTCACTAATTTTTGCCTGATATATGATTTATTTGATAATATCAATTTCTAATTTTTTGTTCAAATAGTTATATTTCTTTTGTTATGTGTAATTTAATTATAATGTAACTCATGGTACATATAAGTATGTGTGGAATTGTAATTTCACTAATTTTTTGCTGATATATGATTTATTTGATAATATCAATTTCTAATATCAATTTTTTGCTGAAATACACTTTTTCACTTTTATTCCTATTTATGGTGCACACATTATTGTGGACCATGGTCTATCATGTGATTTTTCCAATAAAATATAATAATACTTATACAGTTAAATTACTATTTCATATTCTAGGGTAGCATAAGTTATAATGTTAAGTGTATTTAATTTATAATATTAAGAATTCTATCCTTTTTATGTTAGTACGTGCTACCAACTTATTTTTTTATAGTCCCATAAAATGTAGTGGTCTCAATTAATTGTCACTTTAAATATTGTTATTCTTTAAATTTGTCTAATATTATGTATGTGTACAGTACGGCAGTGCAATACACAAATAGGTCCAAGCAATTGCCAGAAATTTTTTATTGTAGATAAACAAAATCCGGGTTCGACGATAACACAAGATGAATTGGCAATTCGTAAACCATTAGATAAATATGCAATTGTCGAAGACCATGTAACAACCAGAGACTTGCTACCTGCCTTTGAAGATGAAAGTAACAATACAATGAGCGATGTCCCAAATCAGAACATAGATGGTAAAAAAATAGTCCCCTGTGGTGTTTCAAACAAATATAAGTAAATTACATATGGTCACTCTTTCAATATTAAAAATAATTTTTAAATGTTTTTTAATTTTAGATGCAAATATATCGGGTAACGCTGTTAGGCAGACCTCGGAAATTGGGACATCCTCTGGTCCACAACATGGTATGTATGTTTGTTTTATACGTGCCTGAAATATAAATCAGTATTTAAATTTGTATATATTTGGTTTCAGGTCAATACTGCGATTTTGGTGATGCAACGAATCAGTGCGTCCATTGTGGGGCTCTGTTTTGGTTTGAAGAAAGGAAGAAGAATTTGTCAACAAAAGCATCGCAACTGTTTATGTTGTGTTGCAACAATGGGAAGATCAAATTGCCGGATAATAAGTTGCCACCAAAAGGTATATTTGATCTCTTTTTCGGCAATGACGAAATATCAAAAGAGTTTTTACACAACATTAGGACCTACAACAACATGTTCTACTTCACATCCATGGGTGGAAAAGTTGACAAGAACGTGAACAAGGGGGGAGCACCTCCAATTTTTCGATTAAGTGGTCAAAACTACCACCTAATGGGCACTTTACTTCCAGAACAAGGCAAAGAACCTCATTTTGCCCAGTTATACATATACGACACGGCAAATGAAAGGAACAACCGTATAAATGCTGTGAGGTAAAGAAGTTTCCGTAATTACACATTAAATACTATTTTTTATCTAAATAAATATCAATTCCAAGTATATGTTGTTGTAGGGGTAGTGGTGACCAAGATGACATTCATGTAGAAATAGTGAATGTCATTCAGAAAGACCTGGATGAAAATAATGTCTTGGTTAAGTCTTTTCGCATGGCTATGTCTGAGTTGGATATTAATCCATGCGCCGAAGTAAAAATAAAGTTGTTGGGAAAACGAACTAGAGATGCGAGGACATATAATCTGCCTCAAGTTTCTGAAGTAGCAGCTTTAATTGTTGGAGATCTGGATACAAGTATTGGAGAGCGTGATATTATTGTTCAATCGAAGGGTGGCCACCTACAGAGGATTACTGAATTAAATCCTTCATACTTACCACTGCAATACCCTATTTTGTTTCCATATGGCGAAGATGGTTATCGGGAGGACATTGCATTCGCCGACGTAGTAGGCAGGCGCTCTTCTGGTGGTAGACAGAGGATTAGCCCCAGGGAGTTTTTTTTGCTACCGCATACAATCTAGACAGTCAGCTCCGAGTACCATATTATTTGCCAAACGGTTGTTCCAACAGTTCGTTGTAGATGGCTACACAATGGTTGAGTCTGGAAGACTAATTTATATAAGGACACACCAAAAAAGCCTAAGGTGTGAGAGTTATAGTGGATTGACTGATGCTTTGACGAGGGGTGAAATAAGTCCTGCAGCACAAGGTCGTAGAATAATACTACCTTCGAGTTTTACGGGTGGTGCTAGATACATGATACAAAACTACCAAGATGCAATGGCAATATGTAGATGGATTGGATACCCAGATTTATTTATAACTTTTACATGCAATCCGAAGTGGCCTGAAGTGCAACGCTTTTTAAAAGATCAAAGGTTGAAGCCAGAAGACCGGCCGGAAATAATTTGCCGCTTATTCAAGATTAAGTTGGATGCTTTGATAGCTGACTGTCGAAAGAATCAACTATTTGGCCCTGTGGCTGGAGGTAATATTTTGTTTTTTTTTTTATTTTAAATCAATTTATCTAAATAAATTTTAGGTAATTGCTTAACCTTATTATGTTTATTTGTATGTTGTTACAGTCATATATACAATTGAGTTTCAAAAGCGAGGTCTTCTGCATGCTCATATATTACTTTTTCTGGAGAAAAGTAAAGAAGTTAGGCAAGTTCTCACTCTAGACAACATAATTTCCGCAGAGATTCCGGATGAAAAGAAAGATGCTGAGTATTACCAAGCGGTAGAGGAATTTATGATGCATGGTCCATGTGGAAAAGCGAGGACAAATTCTCCATGCATGGTAAATGCGCGATGCTCTAAACATTTTCCTAAGAGATTTGTTGATAGTTCTACGTTTGATGACGATGGTTACCCGGTATATAGAAGGAGAGACAATGGCAGTGTAGTTACAAAGAACGGTATCACCTTGGACAACAGGTATGTGGTACCGCACAATAGATATTTATTGCTCAAGTACAAGGCTCATATAAATGTCGAGTGGTGCAACCAATCAAGGTCAATCAAGTACCTGTTCAAGTATGTTAACAAGGGTCATGATCGAGTAACAGCCGAATTTTACAAAACAGGCAATGATGACGAGAATGGCAAAGCAGTAGATGAGATAAATATGTACTATGACTGTAGGTACATATCCCCGTGTGAAGCGGTCTGGCGTCTGTTTGGTTTTGATATACAACTTCGTGCGCCTTCGGTAGAGAGGTTAAGCTTTCACCTACCTAATCAACAGAGTGTGATATTTGCAGATGATGATGCGGTTGAGAACATTGTGAATAGACCTACGATAGCACAGAGCATGTTTTTAGAATGGTTTGAAGCTAATAAAACATACCCCGGTGCCAGAGAGCTTACTTATGTTGAGATGCCAACAAGATTCGTTTGGAAGAAAGACCTTAGAAAATGGCAGCCACGAAAGAAAGGGTTCTCCATAGGACGTATATTCTATGTCCCGCCAGCTACTGGTGAAATCTTCTATTTGAGGTGTTTGCTCAACAAAGTCCGCGGCCCTAAAAGTTACGAAGATATTAGGACTGTAAATGGAGTACAATATGACTCATTCCGAGATGCGTGTTATGCAAGAGGTTTAGTTGATGATGACAACGAATATGTTGATGCAATAGATGAAGCCAGTCATTGGGCGTCAGCGGAACAATTGAGGAGATTGTTTGTGACATTACTAATGAGCAGTTGCATGGGAAAACCGGAAATAGTTTGGCACGCCGTTTGGCAACATCTATCAGACGATGCCCAATTCAATATCCGTACACAACTGCAGAACAGAGGTAATCGTACATTTTTAAAAGAATATTAAGTCAAATTTAATGTATTTGAGCTATAACAACAAATGTTTATATATATGTATGCAGAGTTTGTGTTGACCGATTCGCAGAAAATGAACTTTGCTTTAGTTCAGATTGAAAAGCTATTATCTAATCATGGTAAGAGTTTGAAGAACTATCCTGAGATGCCAACGGCCAATTTTGGTGCGTTAAACATTATTGCAAATAGGTTGATTCAAGAAGAATTATCATACGATCGGGGAGAACAAGAGAAAGAGAATCACGAATTGGTAAGGCAGTTAACAGACGAACAAAGGGCAATATACAATGAAGTGTTAACTGACGTCGATTGCCAGCAAGGTGGGTTATTCTTCGTATCTGGTTATGGAGGGACAGGTAAGACTTTCTTGTGGCGAGCACTTTCTTCCGCATTAAGGTCTAAGAGTCAAATAGTTTTAAATGTTGCTTCTAGCGGCATAGCTTCGCTGTTATTACCTGGTGGTCGTACGGCGCATTCCAGATTTGCTATACTGATATCTGTTAATGAAGATTCCACGTGCAACATAAGGAACGGCAGTGAACTGGCGGAACTTCTTGTGCAAACAAAGCTGATAATATGGGACGAAGCCCCAATGATGCATAAATTCTGCTTTGAAGCTTTGGATCGAACTATGCGGGATTTGATGCGCTTCGTAAATCCAAGGAGTTCTGATATGACATTCGGTGGCAAAACAGTTGTTTTGGGTGGCGATTTCAGGCAAATTTTACCAGTCATTCCCAAGGGTACTAGACCGGATATAGTTCGTGCGAGCATTAGTTCATCCTATCTATGGCAATCCTGTAAAGTCTTGAGGCTGACTAAGAATCTACGCTTGAAAAGTGTTCAATCAGAATCCGAGTGCAAGGAGATCGAGGAATTTGCTAAATGGATAGCTAATATAGGTGACGGAATGATTGGGTGTCAACTGGATGGGGAGTCAGAGATTACTATTCCAGAAGATTTGTTGTTAAAGTGCGAAGATGACCCTATTGCTACAATTGTTGATAGCACTTTCCCCAATTTCCGACTGGGACTTGTCGATTTGTCATATCTTAATCATAGTGCAATTTTATCTCCAACATTGGATGTGGTAGATGCCGTTAACCAATACATGAATGACCATAATCCCGCTGAGAGTAAGACATACCTGAGTTGTGATTCTGTGTGTAAGTCAGATGCCAATGTGGACATGTTAGCGGATTTGCACACTCCGGAATTCTTGAATGCATTGAGATGTTCTGGAGTCCCAAATCATGCGTTGACATTGAAAGTTGGATCACCTGTTATGCTGTTGCGAAATATTGATCACACATTAGGATTATGCAACGGTACAAGGTTGATTGTTACAAGGTTGGCTGACCATGTGTTGGAAGGCCAAATCATGTGCGGTACAAATGCAGGAACCAAAGTATTGATTCCTAGGATGTCTCTTACACCGTCAGATCCTAGATTGCCTTTCAAATTTCAACGAAAGCAATTTCCCTTGATGATATCCTATGTCATGACAATCAACAAAAGTCAAGGACAAACGCTTGCTAAAGTTGGGTTGTTGTTGAAAAAACCGGTCTTTAACCATGGACAACTATACGTAGCTGTTTCAAGAGTTAGTAACCCCAGGGGTTTGAAAATTTTGATTTGCGGAGAAAGTGTACCATGTCTTAGTACGACTAAAAATGTTGTGTACAAAGAAGTTTTCAATAATGTATAATAACAATTAACAATTTGTTTCAATAATACGTTTCTTATTAGGTTTCTTATTCTTATTATATTATACGTCATATTTTATGTACTATATAGGTAGAGTCTCTTAATGTATAATAAAACTACTATTTTCATCAATGTCGAATAAAATCACTACTTTTCATTTCACATTTTTAAAGGTCTAATAACTATATTCTATACTGTATATATATCATACTATTACGAATTCAAACTATATATTTTTTCATCTAATTATATTATACTGTATATATATCATAATATATATATATAGCCGCGCATCGCGCGGGTGCACCTACTAGTTATAAGTTAATAAAGAGCTCACACAAACTCCTCCACTGAAAATTTCAAGTGTGCTCATCGATGATCATATGAGAGTTGCTAGACTTAGAACTTAGAAGAGTTTGTGTGAGCTCTTTATTAACTTATAATGATATTGATTAATTCATGGGAAAAGGTACAAATAGGCCATTGAACTATTTGGGGGATAGCAATTAAGCCATCAAACTCGAATAAGCTCCAAATTAATCCATGAACCTACAAAAAATGTGCAATTAGCATTTTTAGTAAGTTACAAACAAGTTTTAATTAATAGGTTACCAACAAGTTTGTGATAATTAGGATGCCATGTGTAATTTTTATTTATTAGTTTATTATTATTATTATCCTACTTAAGCATTTGATCAAAAAAAAAAAAAAAACTAAATTAGTGTAGTTTTTAGTTTAAAAAATTAAAAACACAAGTTTTAATTTAAATTTTATATATATATATATATATATATATATATATATATATATATATATATATATATATATATATATATATTTATTTATTTATTTATTTATTAATTAATTAATTTAAATTTATTTATTTATATTTATTTAGTTATATTTAATGGAATGAATAGGTGCTAAATAGGGATGGTAATTTGTCTCGTTTCCGACGGGAACATGGATGAAAACAAATTTCGGAGAACGGAAATGGGGAGGGGGATACCACTCCCTGCCCCGTCCCGGGATAATTACTATATTTAAAAATAAATAAATACAAATAAATAAATAAATAAAAAATAAATAAATAAATAAATAAATAAATATATATATATATATATATATATATATATATATATATATATATATATATATATATATATATAATTTTTTGAATTAAAAACTACACTAATTTAGTTTTTTTTTTTCCTCAAATTCTTAGTAGGATAATAATAATAATAAACTAAAAAAATAAAAAATACACATGACATCCTAATCATCACAAACTTATTGGTAACCTACTAAAAATGCTAATTGCACTTTTTTTGCAGGTTCATGGACTAATTTGAAGCTTATTCGAGTTCGGTGACTTAATTGTTATCCCCAAATAGTTCAATGGCTTATTTGTACTTTTTCCCTTAATTCATCAATGAGGTATGCTGTTAAGGGATTCAACAGGCTCCTTTTATTGTTGCATTTCAAATCAAGTTCAATGGGTTCTATCAAGCTAAGTTAGCTGGGAGTTCGAGACACTCTAAAGTGGCTCAAATTCATCACCGTGGACACAGTCCAGATCGAATCTAACGCTTTAATTTGCTTGTTGTTGAGGGGATTACAAATTCTGAAATGTTGTACCTCCTTCGACCTGATCTTGAATGACATTAGAGTTCTAGCTAATGACTTTAGTAGTGTTAGCTTTGGGTATTTGCTAAACGGTCCGCGAATAAAGCAACTTGTCTTCTAGCTATGAATGTTTTACTCTGCCCGCATGGGTAGCTCAACTGGTCATAGAGGTGAAACTTTGGAAGAATGACCAGGGAGCAACCTCTCAAAGTGAGGGGGGCTCCTTGTGCGCAGTGAGCACCGGTCTAGCCTCTGTGGTTCATGTTCAGCTGAGTCACCATGATTTACAACCTCCCAAATGCTCTGTCGGGCCTTTGGAAGAGTGAATGCTTTACTCTTCACTGACCGTAAGGAATGGGGATCATCAAGAATGAATGCTTTACTCTTCACACCGTAAGGAATGGGGATCATCTCCCCCATCCTTCATGTAGTTCTGACTTTTTATAATTTAAGTTCATTTTCTTTCAAAAAAAAAAAAAAAAAAAAAAAAAAGAAGAGAAGAAATAGAAGAAAGAAAGAACTTAGAAGAGTTCCCTTGATGAGGTATCTCTAATTTGGACACACAAAATCCTATTATTTATTGACTTTTATATCAAAGATAACATTACTAATCATTAAAATACTTATTCTAAAATTAATCTCAATTCAAACCAAAAATCCTAACTCAATCAAGTTAATCAAAGGACAAGTATCCTAATGCTAGCAAGGATTTAAAAAAAAAAAAAAAAAAAAAAAAAAAAAAAAAAAAAAAAAAAAAAAAAAAACTCAATTTTAGACCTTCTAACATGAGTCCTAAAAGTTAAAATTTGTACATATAGTTCTCATTTGAAGTTGAAAAAAAAAAAAAAAAAACTTACACATCCTATCCTATTACTATATATATAAAGAAAGTACTATAATACCCCTAAAATTTTTATTTCTTTTTTCCATCTAAATTATTTTTATATTGTGATTTAATGATTGCACATTTAATTTTTTTTGATCATATATATCTTACGCCATTAATACTCTAATTAAACTTTTCAATCTTTTATTTATTTGTAATGATTATACCTTTAGTTACTAATTCTTTTCATGCTCGAAAAAATCACTAGACGCCTTGTGCGCTCGGGGGCGCTTAGGCGCCGGTGTATTTTTTTTAATAATTTGTTTAAAATTTTTAAATATTTTAAAACTTGATAATTATAAACTATTTAATACTTTAATATTTAATACTAAAATATTAAATATTAACCTAAAAATATGAGTTCGAATAATTTAGGGTTATTTTGCTTTCAAAAAAGAATTTATGATTATTTTGCTCAAAACGATGTCGTTTTGTGTGAAATAACCCATTTTTAAAAATGAATAATAGCTAATCGGTCAACTAGTCAACCTAGTCGGTGTCTAGGAGGCCTATGCGATCAGTGTCAACCGCCTAGACTATCGATTATGGTGATACGCTAGGTGGGGTGGCTAGGTATAATTTTTGCAACAATGATTCTTTTAGATATGGCTAACAGCTAACGCTATTAATATATTCAAAAAAATAGTTAATTCCATTTTTGTCCTAGTTTTATAGGCGCCGGTCTACTTTTAAATTTTTTCCCTTTTTTTTTTTTTAGAACATTGTCACCTTTTGGTCCTAATATTATTTTTGCTTGATCTTTTTTGGTCCTCCATTAACAAAGTCGCTTAAATACCGTTAAATATAAGGACATTTCGTTCTTCAATTATGAATTTTTCTCAAAAAATTTTCAAATAAAAATATAGTGGTTCAATCCACTCTGTATAAAAAAAAAAAAAAAGATTGAAATAGTCTTATATTTAACAACATTTCATGGATTTTGTAGACGAAGGACTAAAAATGATCATGCCACAATAATACTAGGACCAAAAGAGATGTTCTGGAAAAAAATGGACTGCCACCTATAAATTTAGGACAAAAAATAAAATTAATTCAAAAAAATTATAAATTTTCAATTTAAAAACTATTATTTCCTACTTGTATATTTCTTATTATTTTAAAAAATCTATTATTTCAAGACAACAACTTATGTTAGGTCGTCTCACAAATTCTTGTCCGTAAGACGAGTCGGATCAAGATTAAATGTTATACTTGTACTAGTAAATATAATAGTAAATCATAAATAAAGTGTTTATTAATTATATGAGAAAATATAATACTTTTGAAGGAAAACTAGTAAGTGTCGCGTGCGATGCACGAACTATTATTACTTTAACAAATGAGCAAATTACACTTTTAGTCCTATGACTATAGAGGGCGTGTTAATTTCGCTCCATGATTTTTAAAACTAACAATTTAGTCATTTAACTATGCTTTTTTTTAGCAGATTTGGTCCTTCCGGCCAAATCACCGGTGGAAATTGGCCGAAAAAATTTAAACCTTTTTAAATTTTTTTATTCATAAGGGCAAAATAGTCTTTTTACGTAAGCTGTTTCTTCTTCGTGTTCATGAGCTACGGCTAACAGTTGTCTCTGCTTCCAAGAAAGAACAACTCCAAGAATCGAAGCCCCAGGTTCAGAAGCAAGGTATGATTTTTATCCTCAGCTTTTTATTCATGTCTACTGCGCATTTCTTGATTCATCTTTCCTAGATTACACGGTATAAAGCTCTATAAGATATCTAAACTCCCAAAAATATTATTCTCCCTATTCTAGGCACAACCATCCTCCCAATTTCAGCCACGACCAAACATAATTGTAATATTGGTTGTGGTCCTGTGGATGATGGTTTATTTATAGTGTTGAAGTAAGTGCAAATGTTCATGTAAATATTGATTCTGAATTTTAAATTTATTTACAATCAATTAATGTTAGAAACATAACATAATTATTGCAATGTCAATTCTCAATTACGGATCAACAATTATTAGTCAAATTAATTTTGTGAATTACTCTCCTATCCACTAAAATCTTTTTGCTTATTATTCACTTTGATTTTTTTTTTTCATCTTTATTTAATTATTTATGCGGAGTATGATTAGGGAAATTTTTTTCTTAATCATTTTGCTTTAATATATATTAGAGATAGAGATAGAGATAGAGTAGAGGAGAGTAGAGGAGAGAAGAGATAGAGATATAATATATTGAGATATAATATATTATATATAATATATGCAATATTTTATAAATTAATGATATAGACATGTTATGTTGACTAATTTAATAATTATGTTGATTTGATTTGATTTGTAATTAAAATTACATGAATTCATAAATTAATGTGAATACAATAAATGCTTTCACACTTTGAAGTGAAAATTTTTT